GAGTAGCTGTAATGGGCAGAAGGAATAACCTTGAAGAACAGGAGGAAGAGCCAAAACCAAGATACCAATCTGATAAAAGAAACCTGAGTCTGGGGCAGAAATGTAATTTGAGAAAGTGTCTGAGATGAAGGTAAGGGGAGGGAGCGGGGAAGCGCATTCAGGCTTGCAAGATTCTGTTACTAAAACCTTGTAATAAAAATAGGATTAGCCTACATGACTTTGGGTTCCTAGTCTGGTCTACCTTGAAGGGCTGACTAGCCTGGAAAAAGACCTCAGTTCTTACAGAGGCATTGGCAGCATCGTGCTGGCTTAAAACTCCCTCTTCCTCTGTTCTGTTGAAAGTTTGAAAGGTTTCGGAGCAAAATCATCCAGGCCACCTACAGTACGCCCGGCACCAAGTCTCCGCAGGCAGAAATCACAGACGATGAGGTTTTAGAGGCCCTGCAGGTAACGTGTTGGGAGAGTCAGGATTGTGGAAAGGTGGGGGGAGAGGCGTGGTGTGGCTACCTCCCGCTTCCTGACGGAAGGCTCTGTCTTTCAGAAAATAATCACCGACCGTCTTGACTTCCACCAGTTGCTGAAACAGAAGGGGGTGAAAGTCCCATCGCTCAGCTCCGAACCTGCCCCACCACCTACCCATAAGAAAAAAACAGGCAAATAGGAACCCCCCCTTTTTTTTAACACAAAAGCAACCATGTCCTGCATTCTTGTCCTACTCCCGAGCTGTTCCTTTTTCCTGTCCCCAATTAAACGATTGCACTTGCATTTTTTTCTTTTCTCGTACATCTCGTCAATGTGAATAAGTAGGCAGTGGTCAGTTGAGAGAGCTCTAAATCTATCCCATAATTTTGTCCATGAAATGTGGTTAAAACCCGGCTTGAAGCTGATGAATGCGGCTCGTGTGGCTTTGTTGATTTCTCCACCAGATAAAACTCTGGTTTGTGCTTCTAAGGTCTGCTTTTTTGTTAGAATGATCTGCAGCTCCAGCCAGCCTGTGAGGAATCAGCTGCTGCAACCGTTTCATGTTCTAGCTATTTTTAACAGGAAGTTGGGGACACAACCCTGTTTGGGAAGCTGATTGAGCAAAAGGCAGATTGATGCCTCCAAACAGAGTGTGTGAAAGTTCGGAGTTACTACAGATCTGCAAACTTGTGCTAACCGAGAGGCGTCTTCAAACGTGTGAGTTGAATCACAGATTTGAGAGCGGGGAAAGCTCTTTAATATTGTTTTTCTCCAATTTGTGCTAATCAGGGTGCTTTTGAAGTGAGAGTCAAACTAAAAAGCAAAGGTTGATGTAGATAGATCGATCAAACTTTACGACAGCCAGAAGCCAGCAAAACAGATAAACAACAATACAGAGAAATACAAAGAGAAAATTAAAATGTCGGAGAGTGGAATTTGATCTGTAGGGAGCATCTTCTCTGGCCTTCTTAAAGCTAAGGAGCAAATGGTAGTGACTTTCCCAGAATTGTTGCCAGAAAAATAAAAATAAAAATTTGGCATAGGAGCACATGTGCAATAGTTTCAGTTTCCAGGGCTGCTCATGGTAGAGTAGTGTGTGAAGACAGGAAGCTGCGACTCTCCCATCAAGCAAGATTGGAGCCAACTTAAACTGCATTCCCCTATGCTAGAAGGAACCCGACTCAGGATAAGTTGGTAGAGATCATTTAAGGCATTGTCCGTCTGTCCTGAGTGATCCAATATAAAAAGCATTAAGTCCAAAGGTGGGTCACTGGCAGCCTGGGATCCCTCCCCCGTCCCCTCGGGCTCTCCTCTCTCCTGGCCACATTTCCAAAATTCAGCATAATGGCCCCAAATGGACCCCCAGCATTTGGAGACGTGGAAAAGTAACATGAGTCTGAGAAAAGGGAGGGAGTTGAAAAAGTTGAGCCCCTTTCCGAAAATGTAGCTCCCCTCTGAAAACATGGATGATCCTGCTACTTGAGATCTCCACCCCACTCCCTCTGAAACCCTCATCCCCCATTCAAAAGACCGAATCCAGATCAAAGGTAGATGGCATGAATTTATGAATTTACCTTTATGGTGGAGAACCAATGTAGGGTAATGTTTGTTACATCAGGGACTAGGATTAAATCTGCCTTCAGCTGTGGAAGCTCACTGGCTGACTTCAGGCCTGTCATGTCAACCCAACCGACTTTACAGGGTTGTTGGAAGAGGGGGGGCTACATCACATCTTGGCTACGTAGTCCTAGCTTAGGTGAGATACCAGCTCAGATTACAGTACTTCGGAATTATATCTTGATTTACTTTGGAAGTGCCCTTCTGTTCCAAATTTTGCAGGCAGTATATTACAGTTAGTAAGGAATATAGCCAAGGTTGCTTTTTTTAAAAAGAAAAATGCAGTTAGCAATTATGAAATTTTGTCTGGATCGATGGGAATGTCAATCACCCACCAGACCATGTTTCTTATCCATTGGATCTTTTGCAAAGCAGTTGATGGCTTAACCATCTTCCCAGCCAGCCCAGTGAAGGAGTCTAGTGAAACTTCTTGGCCCCCACTTATTTTAAAGCCGCAACAGAAAACAAAGATCAATTTGGTTTTATTGGAATTCTGAATTTGGAGACGGTTGTCAAGAGATACCTCCGTGTTTAATTGTTTTCCCTGTTCTTTTTAACTAAGAAAGAACGAAACCACCCTTAACCCAACATTGCAAAATCAAGTTTGCGGTCCTAAAGATTTCTTGGGTTTGTTTGCTGGGGGAAATTTTGCTAAAGCAAGGGGGTCATGCTTGGTTTAATCGTTGCTCCCTCTGGACTGAGAATGGATCCTCAAACTGGAACTGGGCGTTGCACTGGGAAACGCTGCCAGGAGTCGACTCAGCTTGGGGGATCTCTAGCCACGTGTTGGATCTTTTCGTCCAGGTCTCTGTGACCAGCTGCTAGGACTCCCCCACGATGCCGCTTAGAAATGGCGAATAGTGGTGGAACCCAGAACTGGAACCTTCAGAACCATTTGAAATGAAACGGACCTTTGTTGTTCGTGGGTGCTGACCCCAGGCGCCTGCGCGTTCCAACCCGACGCAGATGGACCTGCCATTGGCTTGCACACCTAGGTGACGGGATGTGGGGTTTACATGAAAAAGAGACACTTTAAAGAAAATGCAGGCAGGTTTGCTGCCTCCTCCTCTCCTCTTCATTGTACTCTCTGCCCTGCAGGGTGACAGCATGATTAATGGTGAGTTGCAGACCCCCTTGCCTCCATGACCAGGTTCAATTTCCTGTGGGTTTTTTTTTCCCCCACCATTAAAGCATGCTTTATTCTAATTATCTCCCAAATATCTTAAAGATTGTTACATATAATATAGCCCATGCTGCCTCACTTGCAGCATAGCACTAAAGGAAACAGGATGGGGATGGAGAAGGAGTCAAAAAGACCATTAGGAACTTTGTTAGTGCTGTGAAGGTTCAACTTCTGTGTTTTTCATGCTTTCTCTTTTTGAGAGGGCGGGCCCCACAATCTGTGCTCCTACCTTGTCCTGTCTCCGAACAACAAGGATTTAACCAGGATAGAGTCATGGGGGTGCCATTATGGGAGGTTTTCCAAC